AGGTGGGCAATGTCTCATATATGATGGAACTTCCACCCAAGTTGAAGATACATCCAGTCTTTCATGTCAGCATGCTCAAGCTTTATCATGGAGACACGGAAGACCTTACTCGGGGCATATCGCAGAGGGCACCCACGACCGTTGTCATATCCTTCGACAAGGAAGTTGATTGTATCCTTGCAAATTGTGTGATGAGCAGGAGAGGCGTGCCTAAATATACAGAGTACTTAGTAAAATGGAAGAACTTGCCAAATAGCGAGGCGAGCTGGGAGCATAAGGATACATTTTGGCAGTTCATAGAGCATATCTAGCAGTTCAAACAAGAAGATGCGATGAGGGCGTCGCAAGCTTAGGTGGGGAAGAATGTCACGCCCCACAACCAAGAGGCTACACCACGCAGGCGCCACGCAGACGCTCAGTCGACGATGACATGGCAGCCTGCATAGACCGAGAGTTTTCTAGACTTCTCTACACAAGTATGGAACTTTCTGGAATTCTCTAGAATAGTGTGTAGTTGTCTAGTCTCTTCTGGACTTGTCTAGAGTTGTATAGAATTCTTTAGACTTGTCTTGTGCATTGTAGATAATTCTTGAATTGTGTATATAGTTCTTTGGAAGATTCTAGACACTTATTTTAGGCCACACATTTGTACACATCTAGAATGTTCTTGTAAGGGCCAAAGGCCTATAAATAGGAGGTGGGAGTTCATTTGCTCCTCACCAAGCAACCAAGTTGTAATCTTCTCTTTGTAAGTAATACAAGTTCTATACATTCCTAAACTCTCTTACTTACTTGCCTTATCTCTTCCTACACACTCAAGTAAGCAAAACACTTGTCTAGTCTTAGTCTTCACTAAGTTAACACACTCGGGTAGGCTGACTTAGCACTTCAAGGGGGCTTGAAAGTGTTTAAGGCCGTATGTGAGTTTGGAAAGGTCCAAGTCCGTGACATTTGTCTCGACTAATTTATAGGATCGGTGCAAGACGCCACCCAAACAGATCAGATAAAGTTCAAATTATGCCCATGAATATGACCTTTAAAATATTATTTGCACCTAAGAGAAATTAAACCTAAAAACCTAAGATACTCACAGTGTACTTATATCTTAAACGGACAATGAGGAGCTAGGAATGGAACAAACATAAAATATTACCAAAACCATATATTAATCTGATCCAACTAGCTAGTTTAAATTAAGAAGTTGCTAATTAAGTCAAATGGGACGTTTATTCTATAGTAAAGAAAACCATTGATTGCGGGCCTAAGATTCCGCTATACCTACCGTACGTTGTTTCTTTGTTTCCTCGCTCAAACTATTGCTGCTTGCAAGAATATATGTTTGATATTTCACGTCACTGTAAATGGATACAAGAGCCAAAAATACACCATTTATATATTACATATGATATGACATACATGCATAATCAATGCCTCTTGTTGAAAATTGAAATACTACATCACTGTCATATGATCATGGTCATTACATAATGTCATATCCGAAGAATCATAATCTGATTAGAATGAATTGGAGTATGGTTGCTGCTGTACTACAGTAGTACAGCACATGCATTTGCTACTATGATTACAACTAGTTTATTAATTTGTGGGACAAAACATTACTATTAATGGTTGCCACTACTGTATCTCAAAAATAAAAAAATGTTTGATGTAGAGAGAGAATTCTTTCTTCCTAAGAATGATAAAAGAAGTGTGCGTGCTCTGTCTCACACACACCAATATTGATCACTCATGTCACAAACAACATGCAGACAATTATGCCCCTATGTGTGGTACGTCATGGAAACTGTGCAAATGTTGAATTATGGGCCTAATACCAATAACCCTAGCTCCAAAAAGTTGATTGACTTGACATATACAATTGTCCGGAGTCTACAGACTCGAGAGAGAACTTAAATTTTGTTTTGTTTTTTTTTTTTTTTTTTAAATCAAAACTTTGTCATCTTTATCATTTTCGTGTACGTATATGGGTTTGCATTGAATTGCGGTTCAGTTGGGGATTGCCATAAAAGGAAAACTCCTTGAAGCCCTTCAAAGATTGAATCGTACGTACAGGGAATCAAACAGCAAAAATAAATAAATAAATGAACTGAACAATTATTGAATTTTTTTTCTTCTAAAAAGTGAACTAAATTCCCTTTCACTTTCGTCATTTTCTTTATCCAATTAAAAGTAAATAAACGAATACAGAAAAGAAGGGATTGTTAGTATATATTACTTGCCAAAAAGAAAGAAAAATACTAATAAAAGAATGTTATTATTATTATTGTTACAGAGTATTTTTTTTATTATCCGCAAGAAACTCATGATATAATTAAGCCACACGCTTTTAGTATAAAAAAATGTTAATAAGAATCATGTTCAAATACATGCTCTGAAAACTCGTGTTAGACTCCTTAATTAGAGGTCGGGTCGGGCTTGTGCTTGGGTTAAAGGTTTTATAGGCGAACTCAAGATGTTTACCCTCAACTCACTCAATCCATTCAAATTACAACCCTAGTAAATTGAATCCCTTGATCATTTTTGTCATGTGAATATAATTAGATAAGAAATAATAATTGATAGGAGTTTTAAACAGTTGATGATATCACTGAGGAATTGAGAAAAAAGCAGCAAAATTAAGAATATGAGCTGCTACTTGGAGAAATTGAAGATTTAACCCTTCTTTATAAATTTTTTTTTTTTTTTTAACTGAGTTCAATTTTATCATTTAGCACATAAATTGAGAAATTGAAAAAATTTATTTATTTATTTGTTGGCCTTTCATATTCCGGCCTTCATTGAGCCTGTCTAGGGTCCAAACTCCAAAGAATGGCATGGAGATTGATCCTCGGGATGGGCCGGAACTCAAACAAAGCCCAGGTCTAATCCTAGAGGAGTTGGGCTACGACTGGTCCGGCCCAATCAATAAAACTAGACCACACTTTTAAATTGTCGAAATTGAGAAGTTACGTGCATATCATCGTCGCCAAAGTCTGGAGTCAGATGTATTCCTTCAACTTTCGTGTAGGGTACAAGTTATTGTATTGTCCAGAAAAGGTGACATTCCATTTTTATATGGGACTTTGAACTCATGAATTAAGTCACATACGAGTGAGAATCCTAACAACTTCAAGAACAAGAACGAATAAGTGGTAAAATTAAATAATAAATAGTGAGAATTTGAGTAAAAATGTACGCGGAGCATGAAAACAGAAGCGCACTAGTGATATTCATTGAGCAGAATTATGTGACTTGGCTCATGAACCTCTCAATCAAATTAACTTGAAATTCATCTTAAAATTTTTTGGTGCTGGACATTTTACTACATTAATCAGCATTTTCAAAAAAATTAAAATTGCTAGATATTTTACAATATTAATCAGTATTTTAATTTTTTTAAAAAATTATTCTATATATAATAATAATAAGAGATTTTTACATATAAATGTATTCATGGGTCCATATTTACAGTCTCATGCAGTCAAGGCCACGTAGTTTCTAAAAAATGAAACTGACCTTTTCCTGTTCATGATAATTTGTTACCCAGAATAACCTTTTCGCTTTTTAAACCAAATTACCATACTGCCCCTTTCCATTAATTCACCCAAATAAATTACCCCTTAATTTTTTTTAGGGCATGATTGTGTACATGCCAGCCGCCGGCGCTTCTCTCTTCCATCACATATATACATTACAGTCATTTTTGGAACATTTTCTCAGTAATCAGTCACCACCACCACCACGACCACAAAGGCGGTGCGGCGGGGCATGAACACAACCAAGCAGGTATAATAATAATAATAATAATAATAATAATAAATCACTGTTGATCATCTCATTTTTTATCCCTCTCTAAAGTTCACGGATGATGCCTAGAGCTCTCAAAAACCACCATCGATCACCGGACCCCTGATGCAGAGCCAGCCATGCAAAGCAATAGCCTACTTTATCTCTACTCTTGAAGCCCGTTGTGCATTTCCATTGAATCCAACAAGCATTTGTCCACGCTAAGTTTGGTTGAGCAACCGGTGGTGGTGTTGTTGGGTTTCAATTAGGTTCTGCAGATGGTGGTGGTGGGTTCGATTAGGGCTCTGCAAGGTGTCCGCGATGATGGTGATGGTTTGATTTGGTGTTGTTGGGTTTCAATTAGGTTCTGCAGACAAGCCGAATCGGTGAGGGTGGTGGTGTTGGGTTCGATTAGGGCTCTGCAAGGTGTCCGCGATGATGGTGATGGTGGTGGCGGAGTGGATTTGTGAGATTTGAGAGTTTCTATTGCTTTGGTTTTGGGTGGTAGCAGTGAATTTGTATGTTACACTAGGTGATGGAGGTTGCGTGGTGGTAGTTTGTGGTTTCTGAGGTGAGAAGCTAAGGTTTTCAGGACAATCGCCGCCGTCAATGGTGACTCCAGAAGAGAGAAACGGCGGGCATGAACAGAATCATCACTGCCCTAAAAAAAAAATTATGGGCTTTGTTTGGGTGAATTAATGAAACGGGTAACATGGTAATTTGGTTCAAAAAGTGAAAGGGTATTTTGGACAATAAATTATAGTGAACAGTAAAAATTCATTTTTTCTTGTTCATATCATTAATTTGGTCAACTTCATTTTCTTTGACTGCATAAGACCGTAAAAATCCCTAATAAAAAGCTTTTTCAAACTAAACGTTCTTGTACGCTTAAATCCTCCACCAAGACTTGTCATTCAACTCAAAAATTCATAATGCTTAAGCTCAACATCCCAATTTGATGTGATACAAGAACCCTCCAAATCTCTTACAAATGTTCAGTAAATAATATGATTCATTTTGATAGAATCAAATTCACCGTTGTGGTTTAGTTTCACCCTCAACGAAGTCCACCGGCGGTTTCGTGAAAAATCCAATCATAAACCACTCCAAGCCTCACCCTACTATATATTTATGAAAAAAATGTATGTCCTTATATAATACTGTATATATTTATATATGTAACGCTCTGTTTTATATATATATATATATATTTTGTGTGTGTGTCTGTGTAACGCTCTCTCATGTACACACAGTCACATACTCAAAGAAGCTGATACACGAAGTAAACAAGAGGACAAGCACGTAGATAAGGTGGTGGAACCACCTCTTTTTTAACCTTTCTCTGTTTCCCCAAGCAAAAAGCATACCTTTTCTAACCTTCTTTCTCACCGTCCTCTACTAAACCAATCTAATAGAAAAGCCCCAATCAAAAAACCCAAATCTCCAAGCAAAGTCACCCTTTCTGCTTTATATAAGTTTGATCATTACATGTGAACACTTTTACCTTTTCTTTCTTGCACTCTACAATATTGATCCTTTTCTTCTACTGTTATTTTAATTAATGGGATTTTTTTTTTTAGTCTTTGTCCACACGCTAGAGATTTTTTGCACAATTTAATAATGTAATGAAAAAATTTAAGAGCATAGATATGTTCAATTCTTTGAGGTTGTTTACAAGGCTATGTTTGGAATTAATTCATTTAAAGGGAAAGAATTGTTGAGAGATTCTGTGTCTTTCTTTGTTGGGGTTGTGCACACTATATGTTTGTTGTTTTGATGTACTTGTGGCCTACATTCTACATGGAACTTGTTTTCTGCAAATGGGTCTTTGCGTTTCTACTGTGTTGTTGGCTTATTTTCTCTGTTGCATGCTCAGGTTAGCTAGGCTCTATATCTCCAATTCTTAATATTTGTTTCAAGGTTTATATTGTTATAGTATGAGAAAAAATAGAACCCAATTTGCTAATTGTCTCTTTTTTTCTTTTTCTTTTTTTTTTTTTTGTTGATTTGGTTCTAATTTTCTGATTTAAGTGGAGGGATTACACGGGGATGCTAAAGTAAGGGGGGTGAATTTGGGTGGATGGTTGGTGGTGGAAGGGTGGATTAAGCCTTCTTTGTTCGACGGCATTACTAATGGAGACATGCTTGTGAGCTTTCTTTGTGCCCAAGTATTTGTTATTTCGATGATTGGGGATTCTGAATTCTGGTTTCTTGCAATTGATTTTTGCTAACCCATTTGCCATGATTAATTTAGGATGGTACACAGGTGCAATTCAAATCAGTGACACTGCAGAAGTATGTAAGTGCAGAGAATGGTGGAAGCGCGAATGTTACAGTGGACAGAGATGTTCCGTCTTCGTGGGAAACATTTAGAGTGAGATAACTGAACTACTCATGCTTTTCACATAATCTTCTCTTGGCTGTTATATCTTAGTGTGTAAAATTTCTTCTATTTTTCCCAAACATATCTTTATATTTCTTTACATTTTAATGGTTGATTCAGCTGCAAGATTTTTCTTTTCGTTTATATTAGTTAATGTATAGAAATCAGAATTCGTAACTTTTCAATGGGCATTTGATTAGAGAATCAGTCAGCTGAATGGACTTTTTACATGCCTATTGAGTATTAATACAATGTGGGATGCAATCTCAGGGCATTTGTGAATAAGATGTTATGAGTGTGTTGCAAGTTGCAACAAACCTTTTTTTTATTTTATTTCATGATGTTATATTATATGAACACATACAATAATATATTAAGAAATCATAGTGGGGACCCATCCCCCAATATCTTTTTCGAGACTATTCACAATACCATTAGGCTATTAGGGCTAGTGTTGCATCAATTTCTGATTGAACATGATAACAGAGATTTGGTTCAACTTACTCCTGAAAAAATGGTCCCTGTGCAAGAAGATTTTAAAGGCTACTTCTGCAAATTTTAGATGCGTGTATGGGTAATTTAGAACTTCACCATGCAATTGAATTATGATAATTAGACTCACATTTTTATCTGTAAAAAATATACTCAACTGAAGATATCTGCCTTATTTGAAAGAAACTCTATTTCTTGGACGAAACCTTTTTAGATTTTTATGTCATTGCGGGTGGGTTTGAACCATACGGACTAGGATTTGACTCATTTTGACTACAAACTGAAATGATGTAAAACCAAGCATCGCATCTGAGGGTTAATATGAGCATTTAATGTTAGAATTATATTTGATATTCTACATTCATTTTTTATACCAATAGAAGCCAAGTAAATCTTGCAGATGGGCAAGATTAGTAAATTGAAGTGAACCAAGAAGTGTTACATGCACTTTCTTATGCGGAAATCTAATCAATAATTTCTCATTGTAGTGGTGGAAGGTTTTGTATGGTGGATCTTACGAGTACTCACTATGATTTTTTCATGTAATTGTGGCATACTAATTTTTTTTAGGACAAGTGAAATTTAACATTTGAGATAGTTTGAGAATTTTCTCTCTCAGATCTAATCTGCAGATCTTCAGCATGATATATGATTTACATCAGCATAGAATTTTATGTGCTGAGGTCCATATTTAATTGTGATTTGTGCTATTACATCTATGCGGTTGTAATTTCTTCTTTGACATTGCAATTTTTGTTACTTTGTGAAAGGACGTACTGTGAATCATATCATACTAACATATTATTTTATTTAAAGGTTCAACTCTTTCACTAGTATTTTAACTGAACAAAGATGCACTCAAGAGGGTGTCATTAACTTTTAAGTTATACTGTGGAGTCCTAAAACTAAACTATTGCTATCTGGAGATTCAGTTGTTCCTTCAATTTCTTCTCCTGCAGTTATGGAGAGTTTCTGATTCAGAGTTTCAGTTCCGCACCTCTCAAGGCCAATTTCTAACATGTGATGGTGAAGGGTGCTCTGTCTCTGCAGTCGCAGATTCGCCATCAACAAAGGAGACATTTTACATTGAAAGAAACAATAACAATAGGGTTCACATCAGACTTAATAGCAGAACTTATCTGCATGTATATATTCTCATCCTTTACTTTTATCTTTACTAATATATATCTCTAAAATACCGCTTAGATAGTTAAATATGATGTTGTGCCCCATTTATTATGCATTCAGCACTGGATATTGTGCCGCATTTAACATCGATGAAGCATGGTTGATGGTTTGAAGTGCCACATATAACATTTTAAACCATCAAATGTTTTTAGCCTTTCTGTGTTTATGTTCATGAAAATTTCAATTGCCCATTACAACATAATTGGGATTGGACAATCATTTGGCTTTGGAAGTTGTTTGGTAATTGGTCTGGTAAATGATGTAATTAAAATTGAACAGGTGGTAATAAAGAAAGGATTGTGCTAAAGTTTCATCAGGAAAAAATTGTGAGAGAATTTGAATCTAGGAAAGCAAGTTTCAGTAACTATGCAGAAATAAAGCAACCTGAAGAATATTCAAGGTACCAATGGATAAAATTGACAGACTGAAAAACTTTGAGATTATTTTGCGACCACATAACTAACCCACTAATTATCCACCCCGCTAGGATTGAGATAATATCAGTGTTCAAATCCCTACTCTTCAAATGTAAGATTTTAAATAGTAAATGGTGATACTATTATACTTGTTTAGGCTTCAATAGCAAACCAGCTCACAGCAGACTATCCAGGGACACCAGGATGGGATGATAATGCAGCTACTTTTGAAATGACAATTGTGGCAAATAACTTGCATGGTGATTACCAGCTGGCCAATGGCTACGGGCGCGAAAAGGCCAAAGAAATTCTTAAGGTAACTAATAATTTTTTAAATGTGCTTCTTTCTTTAGTTGTTTCTTAACCTGTAATAATGGATAGGTTCCACCCTCTACATAAGAACATATATTAAGAATATGTTGCATTTGTATGGCTAGAAGTTTCATGATTCAACAGGTGCAGTTTGTCTTCTTCTTCTTCTACATATATTAACATTATGTTGCATTGGCAAGGGTAGAAGTTTTCATGATTCCACAAATGCAGTTTCTCTTCTTTTCAAATTCAGAAAAAGAGAAGAAATAGTTTTAGCAATATATATAATTTTTATATATAGACGGTATATATGCAATGTTGGGTGCTAGTGATGGAGGAGATCGAACTAATCCCTTGTTTTCCAATATATTAAAATAGTTTTTGAGAACCTGATGGCAAATATATATAATTTAATTAGTGGACCGAATACATAGAATGTTGGAGAGCCAATGATGAGAAGGAGATCGAATTAATTTCATATTTTCCAAAACATATAACATGCGTGTTGAAAGGCATTTTTGTTCTCCATTAATAAATCCTGATTTTGGAAGTATTGAGGGACTGGTTTTTCAGAACATAGTGACTTCTGAGCAATCAACTCCTGGCCTTACATCAGTTATATGTGTATTTGGATTATTCTAGTATTCTTATCTTGCTTCATTTGTTGATATTAGTGTCCTTATAACTTGGCTCATATAAAGTGCATATCGTAGACATTTATTTATTTTAACTGTTAGAAGAAATAGCTGCTATGTTTCTTCAGCCAGTTCGGCTCATTTATTTGATTATATGCGTTTATTTATTTTTACTGTTAGAAGAAAGAGCTGCTATGTTTCTTCAGCCAGTTCAGCTCCTTCATTTGATTATATTCATTGGAAACTGCAGAAGCATAGAAACAGCTTTATCAATGTAGAAGATTTTAATTTTCTGTATAGACATGGAATTAATACAGTGAGGATTCCTGTTGGCTGGTGGATAGCTTATGATCCTAATCCTCCAGCTCCTTTTATTGGAGGAACTTTGGAAGCTCTGGATAATGCATTTTCATGGGCACAGTAGGTCTTGTTTTGACCTTTTCCTCTTTAGTTTCTTCAGCATTTTCAGTTAGTCCCTTTTAAGCTCTGCATGAAAACTTTGGTGCAGAGCCTACGACATAAAATGCATTATCGATCTTCATGCTGCTCCGGGCTCTCAAAATGGTATGGAACATAGTGCTAGTAAAGATGGTTCAACAGGCTGGCCTACATCTCCAGATTTCATCTCACAGACATTGCATGTTATAGATTTTCTAGCATCCAGGTACATTTCCAGACAATTTATTGGATGGTTAAGATAGTACATTTGGTGTAGTATCTGCTTGCAGTTGAGGGGAAAAAATTAATGTTAAAGGGATGTTATTAATCAGGAAAAAAAAAATTTGATGGCTGGTGGAAGTTGAGGGAAAAAAAATTGATGCCCTCTTCTGACTAAAGGGAAGTCCTTATTTGCCAATCAGTAACCTTAATGTAGTTATGCTTGGGGAAAGAAAAAAAAAAGAAAAGTGTAGTTATGGGGTGTTTGGATACCGAAAGGAATTAAATGCATTCATTTCAGTTCCAATGGCCTGTTAGCATACTGTTAAGTAAATGATTTCAAGGTGAAAAACTTTACTTGTAGAAACATAGAATTTAGGTTATTTTCTGAAATCCAAGAATGATGTAATTTAAGGTAGGTATCATGAGAAATACAAAGCTCATTTGAGCATCCCCCAGAGAGAGAAGAAAAAAATCATCTCTATTTTGTGGCACAAAATCATTTCATTCTCAAAGGTGTCCAAACAACCTACTTGAGTATAGCTGGAAAAATCATCCAAGTTGTTGCAGCACTTATGGGCATTCTTTTTTCCCACTCCTCTCTCTCTCTCTCTCTCAGTGGAATTTTTTTTGTTACATGACCTGCTTGGAAGAGGATATGTAAAATTCTTCTGAAAGAGTGGTCAATTTTTCCCTTCCAAAATTGAGACTTTGTGGCTTTTGCAGTAAATCTGTCCTGCTCCTTGGATGCACAGTGGTCTGGTGTTGGTGAAATTTCGTTTTATTAAATGTGATTTCTTTCATTTTCAGGTATGCCAGGCATCCTACTTTGCTGGGAATTGAACTTCTAAATGAACCGTCTGCCGCAACTGTTCCACTGGATATCTTAGTATCATATTACAAAAAAGGTTACCAAATCGTTCGGAAATACTCTTCCACGGCTTACGTGATAATGTGTCAAAGAATTGGCAATGCAGATCCATTAGAACTTTATCAAGCTAACATAGGCTCAGTAAACACAGTGGTGGATTTGCATTACTATAATCTCTTCGACACTTTCTTCGTTAATATGAGCTCTGTGGACAATATTCAATTCATTTACAAGAGCAGGGAAAGCCAACTACAAGCTCTAAATAGCGCAAATGGCCCTCTTGTTTTTATCGGTAATTTAAGGTGTCCCTGTTATCTTCATTCATTTAGGAAGAAAATACTTCAGGGTTCTAAATTCCAGTTTTTATATCAATTTCGAATTCGGTCTTTTAGTTGAATCATTTGCCCAAACCTGAAACCTGGTTTGTTTCTAATATGTATTTCCTCCCAATGTTTTAAGAATTATGACATTTAGAAATGGATCATTGGCAGGGGAATGGGTGAATGAGTGGAATGTAACAAGTGGTTCTCAACTTGATTATCAAAATTTTGGCAGAGCCCAGCTAGAGGTTTACAATGCAGCTTCCTTTGGATGGGCTTATTGGACACTCAAAAATGACAGAAAGCACTGGGACTTTAAATGGAATATTCAGAACAATTTTCTCCAGCTGGGTAAAAATCTATCTTCTGTTTTAAGAATGTGTATGATATTAATTTCAGTAAAGGTAATTTATAACCATTATTTCTCAGGTCTGAACAGCATATAAAACTGCATACATGTTTTATGCAGGTTATTCACCAGCCATGCAAAAATCTTACATCCTGGAGTTGCTTGGATTGGCATGCAGCTTCTTCTTTCTGCATCACACATTGTAATAGCTCACACCAAATTCTGAGAGTTGAAGATATGGATCGAGATACGGGAAGTTATTTGTTCTTTGTTGCTTAACCATCACACTCAAATATTTTGCGAATTTGAAGGTGATGCGAAAAATAATGTTGTAAGAACAGAGTACCAAAACAAAGTGTGAATGATGCTGTAAAACCTTGAGGCTACAATCTCTAACATTCAATAATACAAAAATGGAGAATTTTCTCCTGTTGTAGTTTCTCTAGCAATCTTTTGTGTCAACATTCTCCTATGAGTTCACTCTTTTTATCTAAAGCCATTTGTTATACGCTAAAATATAGAGTTTCTTGACCATCTGGCCAACTGAAAAATATCCTATAAAGAGTACAACCAAAAATCCAAAATACGACAGTGGCAGTGTGGTGAACCCCATTACTTCCCCAATTGGCGTGGAAGCAAGTACAATTCCAATGGCAGAGATTATGACCGTAGAACAAATCACAGGCCATGAGGCGACCTCCTGAATAAAGGGGATCTTCTCTGTTCGAATTAAGTGAATGATCAGGGTTTGCATGAGAAGCCCTTCGACAAACCAAGCGGAATGGAAGAATGAAGTATTCTCATAGACATCCTTGTAATACAAACAAAGAAACAGAAGGGTCGTAATATCACAGAGAGAGCACACAGGACTATTCCATAATATGAACATGGCTAAGCCTTTTGATGACCCTCTCTGTGGAGTTCTCACATAATCCTCTTCCATCTTGTCCCAGGGGATTGCAATCTGGCCTACATTGTACAAGAAGTTCTGTGTGAGAAGCTGCCTCGGCGTCAAGGGCTCATATCCAAGAACCAGAGTCGCTATGAGTAATGAAAGAATACTTCCTATATTGGCAATAACTGACAATTTTATGTACTTCATGGTGTTCCCAAAAGTGAGTCTGCCATGCTCAACTCCGGCAACAAGAACGTTAAGGTCCTTCTCTAGTAATATAATGTCAGCAAACTCTTTAGCAATTGATGCCCCTGAATCAACTGATATCCCCACATTTGCAGCGTCCAATGCAAGAGAGTCATTCACTCCATCTCCCAAGAACCCCACAACATGATCTCCTACTGTCTGCAAGGATAGCACCACTCGAAGTTTCTGAGTTGGGGTAAGACGAGCCAATACAGTTGCTCTTTTAACAATCTCATGGAAGGAATCATTGTCGAGTAACTCAAGATCAGGTCCTGTAGTAACGTGAGTGGTCCTGATTCCAACTTCCTGGCAGATCTTTATTGCAAGTGGGAGTGTGTCACCTGTTAACACCTTTGCTTTTACTCCCTTTTCAGCCAACTGCCATAGTGCTTGCTTTGCAGAGTCCTTTGGTGGATCAAAGAAGGTTAAAAGGCCAAGGAATACCATGTCTGATTCAACAGTATCATCATAGACCATACTTCTGTCACCCATTTGCTGCAACATGAAAAGTGTAACTGTAATATTAGTAAATCCTGTTAATTTACCTAAAAAAAAAATTCCTGTTAAGGCAAATGAATTTTTCTTTACTGTTTGCCATATCAGCTCACTTTGAATTTGCATAAAAAAAGTTCAATCCCATAAATGCTGGAATCACATCTCAATCAAACCAACACATTTGATTGAAAATTGTTCAAAAACTCTCTGATAAATTAAAATAAAAAACTGTCAACCATCGCCATCCACTTTGTTGTTTCTATTCCTTTTCATAAGGAAGCTCAGCTTGTTTTTTTATCCTTTGGTAATTAACTTTATGTATGTGTAACACATAAAAGTATGCATGCTTAACACATAAATTAATAAAAACAGTATTGTTTAGATAGGCACTTCGGATGTGCTCTAGGCCCTAAGGAGCATATATATGCATAATATATACTTATATAATTTTATTTTATTTATAAAATTAAAATTAAAATTAAAAATAAAAACTCTAGAGCACTTGCCGGCTCCTGCGTCCACTCTTGCAAGCTCTCTCTCCAGTTCTCTGCATAGTTTAATCTTAAGAGTAAAATACTAAAGATTTTTCATTAAATTTGTTATTTGTGTAATTTTAGGTGCATGAATTAAATAAAATTGTTTCTGCAAGCTTTCAACACGGTGCTATAGCAAATATTTCATGTTTATTCACATGTATATAGATATGTACTGGTCATTTATACTTATGCATATATAAGTATATACATGCATATAATTTTTATTCCAATTAGATATCTGAAATAATACATAAATATTAAAATTCAGATTACTTGGAAATCAATGTATATTTTCCATCCAATTGTTCTATTTTCTTCCACCCAACTAGTCCAACATAATGATTGCTCGAACATTTATTTCTTTTAAAAAGAATTATCATGTTAAGTGTAACAATGCATGTAAATATCATCTTTGCCAAACACTTTATCATATCTAGATTAGTTTTCCTTTACTAGTTTAAATGATTTAATTTTTATTTCTTTTTTTATGGTAGAGTGAGTCAAAGTCACCTAATAAGTGAGATTGAAATTTGGGTTCAGTGCTAGGATATTTTATAATCTACTTTGTATTTTCAACTTGTTGAGCTTGATATACATTGTTGGACCCATTTTCTAACAACTTAATATACATTTTTGGGCCCATTCTCTAACCGCTTTAGCTTTTGGAGTAATTGGTGATCTAACGCAGTATCAGAGACTTGATTCTGGAAGGTCTTGGGTTCAAGTATCCATCTTTGCATTTGTTCCCCTACTGGTGTACAAGTTCGCACTTCTTGTGATCTTGGTTTATTTGCCTCTCCACGTGCAAGACAAAGTTGCACGTGAGGGAGGGTGTTGGAGCCTGATATACATTACTGGGCTCGTTCTCTATAAGCTTAAACTTTTTAGTATTTGGTAGTCTAACATAGTATAGAGTCTTGGTTATGGGAAATCTTGGATTCAAATCTCCTAATTTACATTTGTTCGCCAGTTTTGATTGCAAGTTTACACTTTTGGTTTGGTTTCGTTGTTCCGCCACGTGCAAGATGCGGTTGCACACGAGGGAGGGTGTTGGAGCTTGATATACATTGTTGAGCTCATTCTCTAACAGCTTAAGCTTTTGGAGTAATTGGTGATCTTAGAAAACTGACTGATCAAACAAACCACAATAGCAGAATTTTGCACAGCAATAATTTCAGGAACAGGTGGGTGATACCCTGGATACCTCCATTCCTCTTGATGCTCATTTGCAAACAGAAAAGGAGAAAAAGGAAAGAGGAGTTGGGAACTTACAAAACCATTGGGTACCCAAGAATTGTACAACTCCAAACTTTCTTTTCCTTTCTTGTCTTCTAGCTCTAGATGATAAAATGGGGCTGTAAGATTTTCTTATTTTTCATTTTACTCAATAATTTAAACTACGTGTAATATCTATAAAATAAAATTAAAAAAAAAAAAAATACTATTTGCTAAACACTGTTTGCTCCAAATTTAATCTGGGGAATCCTTCAGCTAAGGCCACACTAATTCTAAGGCCCAAAAGAAATAACATTAACAACCTAATATTGTTATGTTCTTTCTGCTAACCTAATATTCTGCATAATAAACTTACAAATAAAATTTGTACCAAATAAAAATATGACTTCCTTCAGGTTTAGAAAAGAAACAAAGTAAATAATGCACAAGAGGCGTGACCACAAGCGATATAGTTACTAATAAATAAAGTTGTGCTATCATTTATCACTTAGTGTTCAAATTTTATCACTTAATCTTGAAAGTGATATGGCAAAACCAGAAAGCAACATAAGAAATCTCAAGAAGTGGAAAAAATTAGTGACTGAGATTGTTTTTATGTCTTCTTTTGCTGATATATATAATTTAGAATGTTTTTATTTGTATTTATATGGTTGTTCATTAGTCTCCCTCGTCAAAAGACCAATTAAAAAAAAGAAAAAGAAACTTAAACCCAAGCCCACATCCGAGTTGATGGAGAGAAAAACTTGGGGGGGAGTTGAAGCTTAAAAATAACTTATGCATTTTTAATCATTTCAAATTTCCTTCCCTGTTGCATCCAAGGACTAAACTGCGAGTTTGGCTTCATTCCATTTGAAGGAATTGTAAACTGAAAGTGTAGCAAGAAAGAAAAATTAATATAAAACTAAAGCTTTCTTGCAGCAATAAAATAAACTACTTAGTGACAATTCCACCCTTCTTCAAACTACGTACAAGAGGCTTCCTTTTTATTTTTAAGGATGCCACTTTCCAGGAAGTTGTCAGCCGTGCTATGCGGAAGTGGTTTAGTTAATTCAGAGTATCCAATGGTTACTATAGACTTGGAGGGGGGTGAATAGGTCTTCTTGCTTAATTTTAGCAACCGATCAATTTTCCAGTTAATTACAAAACCAAAACCAATCAATATAGTAAAACAAGTAGAGGAAAGAACACACCAGATTTTACATGGAAAACCTTAGGAAGAAAACGGGACCGTGGTTCAGAATCAAGCAATCCACTATATCAAAGCAAAGTGACACCAACTTCGACTTAGACTGATGCTCAGACCACTTTGCCAAGACCTGGTTGCTGACCGTGTCAGACTTGCTCCTGGTAACAAACTTGGACACAACCGACTCCAGTTACTACAGACCTCAGAGTCATTCCTATGATCTTGGAAACAAGCACTAACGTAGAAACGATTGCTCTGAAAAATTTGCTCCCTTCATAGTGATTCAATATCTTCCAAAGAACACCATTGAAGAAGATAAGTGCCAATAAAGCTCCGTGCTCTCAACATAATCACAAGTAATCATGGGGTATGTGTCAAAAATTCCTACTTGCAATAGATGAAAGCTCAAGCAAACATGGAGAAACTAGGGTTTTAAATCTCTATGTTTACTCTCAAATCTCTGCAATTTTTCCACACTAAAAATCTCAGAAAACTTGTATTTATAGTTCCAAAAGTTCACAAATTAGAGTTCGAAAAGAATTAAAATCCTTGTGAAATTAGATTTCTGTGTTACATTGTACCAGTACAAGGAATCGTACAACCAGGTCAACAGTATTCTGGAAGTAAAAAAAAAAAAAAAAAACATATGGAGTCCAGTATGCTATTCAACCGGTGCAACATTTTGCCCAACTGGTACCAAGTCATTCTGTCTGACAGTAATTCAAGAGAGAATCATGCTGAACCAGTACAACTTTATTCTGGAAAATAACTTCCAAAACCAGAATACACTTCTAACCGGTACAGGAAATTTTCAACCTGTTCAATGTTAAACTGCACTGGTTCAACCTTAGTTGTTTCCAGAAAAGAACCTTTATCGTTATTCAATTAAGTGCAATCCTAAGGTCCAGGTTGTTAGGAATTGTGTCTCAAATTCTATTGTAATTAGCTTTCTATTTTAGAATTATTTTATTATGGTAATTTCTTGTAGAGACATGTCTTGGGCTCTAAGAAATTGCAATCCTTTTCCACCAAGGAATTGGGTATGAGACTCTGTAAATAGATACCTAAGTTATTGTTGAGAGGCATGAATTGAGAGAGATGTAGCCTCATGAGGGTTGGAGTTGATAAGTGCAATCCTAAGGTCCAGGTTGTTAGGAATTGTGTCTCAAATTCTTTTGTAATTAGATTTCTATTTTAGAATTATTTTATTAGCAATTTCTTGTAGAGACATGTCTTGGGCTCTAAGAAATTGCAATCCTTTTCCACCAAGGAATTGGATATGAGACTCTGTAAATAGATACCTAAGTTATTGTTGAGAGGCATGAATTGAGAGAGATGTAGCTGTGGAAAGATCCATGGCTGAATTGTTAGGAAATTAGCTAGGGAGGATTTTTTAGGAATTATCCATAGTTAGATAGTTGACTATTTAAAATTTTACATAAGTAGTTCCTGTATTATAGGAATTATGATCTGTATATATCTTTTCCTTAGAATTTGTAATACCCTTATACATATATAGGCCTGCAAACTAACATATGTGATATGAAAAGTGAATATCATAATTTATTCTTTTTCACCTTTGTGTTCATGGTATCAGAGCCGCCCTCACAAGGACGGTAAATTACTCCATTGTTCTACTAATTATCCGATAAAATCAGCAAACATTCATCGTTAATTCTGGTCGTTTATACCAGAATTATAGAAGACTTAATATTCTATTTCTCTTTGTCGTTTCTGGATGATTTCTTTGGTTAAATCTGCGGTGTCTGGAATCTCCACTGAGGAAGTTTCGATCGATTCTTCAAATGCTCGGAATTCCCAGATCACTTCATCCGGTTCAGGTGACAACCCAATCCTCCAAATTACCACTCATCGGCTGAATGGACAGAATTTTCTATGATGGTCTCAATCCGTAAAGATGTTCGTCCGAGGACGGGGGAAGATTGGTTATTTAACGGTGCAAAGCAGGCCCCAAAGGAAGATGATCCAGCATATGCCGTTTGGGATGCAGAAAATTCCATGATTATGTCATGGCTAGTGAA